TGAGAGATTAATGCAATTTGCTAAAGCAAAACCTAAGCCTGATGCACCAATTGCACCAATTTAATTAGACCTTTTTTAAATATTGAAGAAAAAATATATCTTTAAATAGTTAATTAGAAGGAAAAAATGAAGAAAAAATATGAAATAATAAGAAATAAATAATAAAAGCAAAAGTTGAAAATAAAATGATGAGCTAAATTAATAAAGAAAGAACAAAAAAAAAGCAAGCACAATAAAAAGAAAAAGAAAAAAGAGCATTATTGTTATTAATTAGTTTGTTTTTATAATTTAAAATATCACAATCCAAAAAAAATAAACTGTTTTTACGGAAGATCAAGTGTCAAATTTGAGAGATTAATGCAATTTGCTAAAGCAGAACCTAAGCCTGATGCACCTTCATCACCAATTTAATTAGAACTTTTTAATATTGAAGAAAAAATATATCATTAAATAGTTAATTAGAAGGAAAAATTGAAGTAAAAATATGAAATAATAAGAAATAAATAATAAAGCTAAAGTTAAAAATAAAATGATGAGCTAAATTAACAAAGAAAGAACAAAAAAAAGCAAGAACAATAAAAAGAAAAAGAAAAAAGAGTATTATTGTTATTAATTAATTTTTATTATTTAAAATATCACAATCCAAAACAAAAAAACTGTTTTTACCTAAGATCAAGTGTCAAATTTGAGAGATTAATGCAATTTGCTAAAGCAGAACCTAAGCCTGATGCACCTTCATCACCAATTTAATTAAAACTTTTTAAATATCAAAGAAAAAATATATCATTAAATAGTTAATAAGAAGGAAAAAATGAAGTAAAAATATGAAATAATAAGAAATAAATAATAAAAGCAAAGGTTGAAAATAAAATGATGAGCTAAATTAACAAAAAAAAAACAAAAAAAAGCAAGCACAATAAAAAGAAAAAGAAAAAAGAGCTTTATTGTTTTTAATTAGTTTTTATAATTTAAAATATCACAATCCAAAATAAAAAAACTGTTTTTACCTAAGATCAAGTGTCAAATTTGAGAGATTAATGCAATTTGTTAAAGCAGAACCTAAACCTGATGCACCAATAGCACCAATTTAATTAGACCTTTTTTAAATATTGAAGAAAAAATATATCATTAAATAGTTAATTAGAAGGAAATATTGAAGAAAATATATGAAATAATAAGAAATAAATAATAAAAGCAAAAGTTGAAAATGATGAGCTAAATTAATAAAGAAAGAACAAAAAAAAGCAAGCAAAATAAAAAGAAAAAGAAAAAAGAGCTTTATTGTTTTTAATTAGTTTTTATAATTTAAAATATCATAATCAAAAACAAATAAACTGTTTTTACTAAAGGTCAAGTGTCAAATTTATGAGATTAATGCAATTTGTTAAAGCAGAACCTAAGCTTGATATACCTTCATCACCAATTTAATTTTCACTTTTTAAATATTGAACAAAAATATATCATTAAATAGAGTAAGTTACCATACAAATTTAAAAAAAGCAAGTTTTAAATACCAGTTTTTACATTTTATAAAATTAAGATTTTAAATATTTTTTATGAATTTTTTTCCATCATAGGTTTACAAAATTTATTTTTTTCAAAAAAAGATATGTTATGCTTTCAAAAAATTAGCTTATTTATAATTTTACTTCGATATAAATTAAATAGGTATTCCACTCTAGTTAATTAGGAGGAAAAAATAAAGAAAAAATATGAAATAATAAGATTAATAAAAAATTAATAAAATTAACAAAGAATGAAAAAATAATAAATCATAATAAAAAGAAAAAAAATGAATATTAAATAATTAAAAATTGAAATGAAAATTAAGTTAAAATAGCTAAAAATTTTTAGTTTTTACAAAAATCAATAAATAATGATGATAATTTTTTTTATGAAAATTATTTATTTAAATAAATTGAAAATTAAATATAGAAAAAATATTAATAATAATAAAAATAATATTTTTAATTAAATATACGCAAGATTAATATGGAGAACCTAATGAGATAAATGTGAAGAGCTTTTAAACTTTTTTAATAAATTTATATAAATTTAAAGGATATTAATAAAAAAATTAATAATTACTTCTTCTAATTCTTAGTAATATTTAATCTATTATATCATTTATTTTTTTCTCAAGAATATTGAATAGTAATTGATGAAATTTAATTAATTAATAATAAATGATTAAAAAGAACAAATAAATATAATAATTAATTAATTATCAAATATTAATTTATATATTTGGTTTTATGAAGAGATATCACAGAAAAATTAATTTAAAATTCACTATTTAAACTTAATATTTGTATTTATAACATATACTTAAAAATATTTATTGTAGGAATTAGAAATGGCTAGTTATTTATTTAGTCATATTTGAAAAAAACCTAGTAGTTAATTTTCTTAAATATTATAAAAATAATTTTTATAAGTAGATTTTTCTGTTTTAGCTCTGTAAATTTAGGAATATTTATAATATCTCTAATTATAGCAAGACGCCATACAAAAATTTCATGGTTTGCATGCCACTTATTATCAAATAGATTTTTTATTTATTTATTAAAAAATCTGATTTATCTATATATTTTTTTACATCAAAATTTTTAAATTGAGCTAAATTTTGTCAAATAGGGTAGATGTTATAAATTTGTTTTAAAAAATTAGTTTTAAAAAATTAATCGCCAGACCACACTTTTCCCCTTATATTACCACATTAAAAAAAATTACATAAATTCTTGATATGAAATAAGCTTATAAAAAGCCAAATTCAAGCATTAACGACTTTTAAATTCATTAATTGACTCTAAATATTCTTAAATAAAAAAATCAAATTTGTATTGTCTGAATGAATAAATGATAGTTTAAAAAACAATTATTTTTTGATTTTAAAAAATATTAAATGAAAAAAATGACCACTAAAGTTAAAATAAAAAGTGAAACTTGATTTCTCCCTGAGGTTTTATTTAAATCATGGCATCTAATTAATCATGATAAATAAAAAAGGATAGAAATATGATTGATGGATCATATTTAAGATGAAAATATAACTGGCATATAAAAGTTTGGCATTTATATAATTTAATAAAATGTAATATAACACTAAATATTTCAAATTATTTAATGATTTTTGGAGAAACCAGAGGGTTTGCTTTAGAGGATTTAATTTATTTAAGTAAATTTAACTTTTTTATTTTTTATAAATAATTTATTTACTTACAAAAATATGAATGATATTTATAAATATAAAATCTATCTATCTATCTATTTATATTTTAGGTGAAAAACACTTTTTCAAAATATTATATAATTAAATATATAATACTATTCAAACATTTTATATTTATTCATCCTTTTTTCACCAGTTGTTTATCATAAGAAAATAATATAAAAGTCAACTAATCTTTTTGATTTAAGACACTTGCTTATTACTTTGAACTTTTATTATTCATTCATTGAGTAAAGACTTTTATAATAAATTTATGTAAATTTTAAAATAATTATCAAAATAGAATAAACTTTTAAATTTAAAATTATTGTTTAAATTAATAAATAAAATAATATTAGTGGAATAAAAAAGATAAAAAAATAAAATAAATAAAAGCTATCAAATAAATTCAATGAGCTTTTTTGTTTTATATTCATTTTTATAGTTTAAAATATCACAATCCAAAACAAATAAATTGTTTTTACCAAAGTTCAAGTGCCAAATTTGAGAGATTAATGCAATTTGCTAAAGCAGAACCTAAGCCTGATGCACCTTCATCACCAATTTAATTTCGACTTTTTAAATATTGAAAAAAAAATATATCATTAAATAGTTAATTAAAGAAAAAAATGAAGAAAAAATATGAAATAATAAGAAATAAATAATAAAAGCAAAAGTTGAAAATAAAATGATGAGATAAATTAACAAATAAAGAACAAAAAAAAAGCAAGCACAATAAAAAGAAAAATAAAAAAGAGCTTTATTGTTTTTAACTAGTTTTTATAATTTAAAATATCACAATCCAAAATAAATAAACTGTTTTTACCCAAGGTCAAGTGTCAAATTTGAGAGATTAATGCAATTTGCTAAAGTAGAACCTAAGCCTTATGCACCAATGGCACCAATTTAATTGCCACTTTTTAAATATTGAAGAAAAAATATATCATTAAATAGTAAATTAAAGGAAAAAATGAAGAAAAAATATGAAATAATAAGAAATAAATAATAAAAGCAAAAGTTGAAAATAAAATGATGAGCTAAATTAACAAAGAAAAAACAAAAAAAAAGCAAGCACAATAAAAAGAAAAAGAAAAAAGAGTTTTATTGTTTTTAATTAGTTTTTATAATTAAAAATATCACAATCCAAAACAAATAAACTGTTTTTACTAAAGGCGAAGTGTCAAATTTGAGAGATTAATGCAATTTGCTAAAGCAGAACCTAAGCCTGATGCACCTTCATCACCAATTTAATTTCGACTTTTTAAATATTGAAGAAAAAATATATCATTAAATAGTTAATTAAAGGAAAAAATATGAAATAATAAGAAATAAATAATAAAAGCAAAAGTTGAAAATAAAATGATGAGCTAAATTAACAAAGAAAAAACAAAAAAAAAGCAAGCACAATAAAAAGAAAAATAAAAAAGAGCTTTATTGTTTTTAATTAGTTTTTATAATTTAAAATATCACAATCCAAAACAAATAAACTGTTTTTACCTAAGGTAAAGTGTCAAATTTGAGAGATTAATGCAATTTGCTAAAGCAGAACCTAAGCCTGATGCACCTTCACCACCAATTTAATTGTTACTTTTTAAATATTTAAGAAAAAATATATCATTAAATAGTTAATTAAAGGAAAAAATGAAGAAAATATATGAAATAATAAGAAATAAATAATAAAAGCAAAAGTTAAAAATAAAATGATGAGCTAAATTAACAAAGAAAAAACAAAAAAAAAGCAAGCACAATAAAAAGAAAAAGAAAAAAGAGTTTTATTGTTTTTAATTAGTTTTTATAATTAAAAATATCACAATCCAAAACAAATAAATTGTTTTTACCCAAGGTTAAGTGTCAAATTTGAGAGATTAATGCAATTTGCTAAAGCAGAACCTAAGCCTGATGCACCTTCATCACCAATTTAATTGTTACTTTTTAAATATTGAAGAAAAGATATATCATTAAATAGTTAATTAAAGGAAAAAATGAAGAAAAAATATGAAATAATAAAAAATAAATAATAAAAGCAAAAGTTGAAAATAAAATGATGAGATAAATTAACAAATAAAGAACAAAAAAAAAGCAAGCACAATAAAAAGAAAAATAAAAAAGAGCTTTAAAGTTTTTAACTAGTTTTTATAATTTAAAATATCAC